TAACTGAAGGAAGATCTATATATGAGTACACACTGATGGTATAGGTACTCATTGGTGAGAGATCTATTAGTAAAATTTCATTGTCTCTAGTAGATACTACATTCCTGGTTACACCTCCAGTAGTATACTCAATCACATATCCATTAGCCTCTGTTAAAATTGTCCAGTTCACTTTAATAATATTTTCATTTAATATAAACCCTCTCACATTATTTGGAGGACCACTAGGAGCTAGAAAAGAGACGAAGGTATCTACTATTGATTAAAGTATAATCATACCATGCAGTATCACAGATTGACTGTAGTTGACTCCTCCAATCATTGCTATACAGGTAACATTAACTGACACTCCCAGTGGATCAGGATATACCAGTAGTGTGTTGTTGTATGTCAGGACATCAATTGATGAATAGTTTGAGTTATTCTTCATCACTCCATTCACTAACCAGTAAACATCAGTTGAAGGATTTATATCAGTAGTTGTGATACAATCAATATGATATTGAGTGTTATTGAGTTGTGTAATGGATGAGACTAGTATCCAATTGATTGAATTAATAACTAGAAATACATCAACAATGTTACAAGTACATTAAAAGCTGCATGTAGCAATACCTGTAGATAAGGTCTGTACACTGATTGTACTACTAGCAGGTCCCAGTAATTGTTGATAGGCTCTGACTGTGATGCTATAAGTTGTTTCTATATTCAGTCCTTTCAGTGTGATTGTATTATTACTACTTCCCTCCACCTGTACTGTCTGCACAGTGTCTGTGTCACTAGTGACATTGACTACATATCCATCAGCATCAGATGAATCAAGTGCAGTCCAACTGACAGTGATAGTGGTAGCTGTCTTGTTGACTTCAGTAAGAGAAGAGGGAGCAGTTGCTGGTACTAATAATTTTTATTGGTATCAAAATTATTGGTCTTCATTGACATTACCTTTTATAGTTACATTACGTATTCTAATTGCAGCAGCACCAGGATGATCTGCTACCCTGCACTGATACATTTGATCTCCAGTAGTTGATTGACTGATTGACCCACTACTGACAGTCATTCCATCCCATCTGATATTAACAGTATATCTTATTATGTAGGTACTACTAACTAACACAGTACCAGGACAAGGGGAATTGCTATTTTCATCATCACAATTAGTGTAACTAGCCAGTGCAGTACCACCAATGCTCATACTAATATCATACTCATAGTGTCCAATTTTAATACAATTCAGTTTGTATTCCTGAGGATATACTGTTATATCAGAAGGAAGATCAGCAACAGTAAATGATTCTATCTCTGCAAATCCTACAAATAAAAGTTATTACATCAGTAAGTGATTATAGTCTCCTCTTACTGAATATATTAGCAAAGATGATGTTAGTGTTAGGATCTGAACAATCAGTGGGTAGACAACACTTGTACCAGCCTTCTTGATCTGCTGATAGTCCCTGAGCAAGATAAAGACTGATATTAGCATTAGGTGAAGTGACATTAGTACAACGAAAAGGATCACTGTCACTATTACTGTTACAGTCAACAGGATCATCAGGATCAGTAACTCTAACCCACTGACCAGTAGTTAGACTAGTACCAGGTAACACACATGATATAGCTTCAGTAACTTCATCGACACTACTATCCCAAGTGTATGATCCATTAGTATAACAGTTTCCATCATGCCTCAAGTAGATACCTATAAAAACCTATACAGTTGTTATTATACAAATCCAGTGTCTTACCTGAGGAAGGTGGACATTGACTAATAACTTCACTGACACTCAACAAGAAGGCAACCACTACCAGTAAAGACATGCCAGCAACTTTATTTAAAAGTAAACAAATCTACAGTCGTGAATATTACTGCTTTCTTTTCTTTATGCTTCAATGACAATGTTTTTTGTACTAATAGAACTGAAGCATATTTTTACCAACACAACAATAAATATTTATGATTTATATAAATATTTACCTCTTGTGTTGACCAAACCAGATCACAGAATGCACCTTCACGAGGTATCTCAATACCAGGATCAATAATTCTGATAGGAAAAAGTAACAAGTAAAGGAATTTAATTTTATTTGGTTATCTGTATTACAATGAACATGAGAATGTGAGCAGTAAAGTGTCCTATGCTAAATAAAGGAATGAATTAGTTTCTAAAATTAATGTTTTCCTTGAAATCAAAATCATACAAATAGTATCATGTAATGGATGCCATCTTTCTACTCTAAAGCTTGTTATAATGTTATTTGAATAATGTCCCACTATCTATTAGTACAGCAATTAATCCAGTATGCATGTGTGCATAATCAAAAAAGTTTAGTTTATGTTTCATATATGTTAATGTCATCAACATGGTGTATGACATCATCAGTATCCAATGCTTCATAAACAGCAGGAGGTACAGCAGCAGCAGGTGGTTCATCATCAACAACAACAACAGGTTTAACTGGTTTATCATCAGTAGTAGATCCACCAACAATAGGTTTAACTGGTTTATCATCAGTAGTAGATGCACCAACAAAAGATTTAACTGGTTTTTTATGAGTAGTAGATTCATCAACAACAGGGAGTTTATTATCACACTCCTCATAAATTACTGCTTTATTTAATTCATGAAGACCATACGATTCACATTCTTTCATTGTTATGTCTTCATCATTTCTATTGTTGTACATAATTATAATCCTAACATTATTAGACACACTAACACACTGACTTATTTGATTCTTCAGCAGAAGATTTACTTGTTTTTGTGGCAATCACAGGGTATATAAATCTTTAGTACACATATATTATTTTTAATTTGGAAATTGTTCTTCTTACTTTATAAAGCAGTAGATATTGACAGCAAGACTAACAGCTAATAGAATCATCAATATAGCTACAAAAATCCCCAGTCCAATAGCAGCACCATCATTAGATGCATTACAACTGCTGCTAGTAGTAGCTATAGAAAGTATAATTCACAATCATTATGATTAGATCATACCTCCAATCTCTACTAAAATAGGATCACTGAAGGGACCTCTTCCAACAGAATTGACAGCAGCTACACTGATGTTATACTCAGTACCAAACACAAGCTCATTTACATATACATTCTGTATAAGTACATTATATTCAATGAATCTACCACTGAGTTGAGAACAATTGATCTCATTCCACATAATCCTATTAGTATTTGGATTAACATGAACAGATGTGGGT